GGTCATGTGCCGGCATTTCTTTCGTCGGGAGGATTAAAGGCACATGCAGGTCACTTTGCTTTCATGTACAAAGAGCCACTCATCAGAGCGATGAGAGATGGGCAGCCGCGGGGAGAGGAGGTGACACCGGCCTCGGCACTTTCTGCAGGACAGGGCGGGAGGCCACCGGCCATCCTTCCTGCAGGCGGGCCTGCCAAGCAGGGCTCTGGACCGCACCCTGAGCACAGGCCCCAGACCCCGAGGGCCCCTGACTGACGGTGCATCTGCGTCTGCCTCCTGCCCAGGGGCGGCCCACCACCCCGAACCTGTCCGGCCGCCCCACCTGGAGTAGCTCTCCTTTCCCCAAAACAGACTCACCAAGCACCTCCCATGGGCCGGGGATCGGACCTCCCGAGCTCAGCCCCGATTGGCCAGAGCTTGAGAATGACTCGGGGCTCCGTTCCCCCGGGGAGCTCCGTCCAGGGACCTCTGAGTGGGAGCCGGGGCCCGGAGCACTTCCTCCTCTTCCGTCAGCTTCCCCTTGCATCCCTTCTCCCAGGACCGAGGCCATGCGCCCCGAAACGAAGCAGCGAAAGGGTGGCCTGTGAAGTGATGAGGGGGCCGCAGACGCCGCGTGCGTCGGGGAGTGGGCTCTCGGCCGGGGCAGGGAGCCCAGGCCGAGCGTCTGTCCCGCTCTCGCTCGTCCCTGTTCACTGTCACAGGAGGACGGCGACATCTCCTCCAGCAGCGCCTCCCAGTCCTTGTCACAGATAGAAAATCATCGTATTTGTGCAGTGCACAGGGTTAGGGGCGGCTGGACTGGGGACTCTGGTCGGCCCAGACTCTACCCGGCTGCCCGATGGCTGAGGGCTCAGTGTTCTGGACACTAGCATCCGGCTGCGGCCCACCCGTTGGGAAGATCTGCTCTAGAGCTGGTCCTCTGGCTCCAGCGGGCATCCCCTGGGGAGCAGTAAAGCCCGGAGCACTGGGTCCCACCCCCAGGGGTTCTGGTTCAGTAGTCTGGGGTGGGGCCTGAGAATTCGCATACCTGACGGGTTTCCAGGTGCTGCTGGTGCTTTGAGAACCTCTGTCCCAGGGCCTGGTGAAGGCAGTGCCCCCCACCCCGCCCCCCGTCTCCCTGGATGCCCTGTGAGATCAGACGTCTGGTGAGGTGCTGACCTTCCCACCTGAGGCCCACCGGAACACACAGCGCAGGGGCACTGTCTTCCGGCCCCGCCCCCGGCCCTCCAGGTGCGAGTGCCCCATCCTCTGCTAGGACTTTTCCTAAAGCCAGTTGCCTGCCTGCTCCACTTCCCCCATCACTTGCCCCGACATGTGGGTCCATGTGGACAGTGAACACGGTGAGACTCTCCCAGCGTGATTCCCGGAAAAGTGGAGTGGGCGGTCGATGAGTCGGGGCGCTGGGTTTTCCCCCTCGGTCCGCATCAGATAACACCCCGCCGTAATGGGAAACAGCAGGCCCGGCCTCTCGGAATCTTGTTCCGAGGAGTTGGATTACAAAGGCTTTGCACTTTGTTTTCATCCCAGATCCTCAAACAGCTGAAAGGGAGAAACTTGGGAAAGTGGCCTTCAAGGTCGGTGAGGACCCACCCGCTGGGCATGGGCCCTGCCTTTTGAGAGATGAGGCCTGCTCCTGTAGGAAGTCCCTGCCTTGACAGGAAGTGGGTATGTGTGGTGCCATGGCCCAAGCTCAGGTCGTTTCTAATGCCAGTCAGATCCCAAGCACCGGCTGATGTGCAGCTGACCGCCCGCGGTGGGAGGGACTGACCCTGTGGGCAGGCGGGTTCCCCTCCCATCACTTCAACCCCATGGACACCTGAGCTGGACTCCATGAAAGAAGCAGCTGGACAGGTGTCGGTTCTTGCTCTCAGAGAGTTCACAGTTGAATAGAAGTCAAGTTCAGCATCAACTGCATCCGAATCCAGGGAGAGATGCACCGTCTACCCTCAAACCTAGCTCCCAACCCATAAGGACCTCTGTTGCTCTCCCTGACCCAGCACAGGGCACACCACACACCTAGCCACCTGGCAACGTTTTTGGATTCACAAAAAGTCCCTTGGTCAGCGCCCCGAATGGTTTTTCCTTTAACAGATGGGGCTCTGCAGGGTGGAGGTCTGTGCTCCAGGCCATACCTTGAGTCACAGGCAACACGGGGCTTGGAGCTTAGGCCCGGGCTGTCCCAGCCCAGTGGAAGGTCACTGAGCGGGCAGTGCGACTTCCCGCCACCTGGCTTTGTTGCTATGGCGATATCACACAAGACCCGCCTTTGGGTTTTTTACTTTGGAGAAGAGCACCCTAAGTTAAACAGTCCCTGGGTCCCGTGCCATCTCTACTGTCTGGTGTGACGCACATGCCCGCCTCAGAGAGTCTCCTGTTACCTTCGCTCGTGTCAGGAATGTGGGGTCTGTCCCCCGCCCCCCTTCTCCCGCTGCTCTCCAACCATCTCAGCGAAAACAGGCTCATTTATGGTCATTTCCCAACATGACACACACAGTGACCGCTCTCGACCTTCCAGCCTAAGCTAGAAGGGGAGAAAATGAAAGAGTTGTCAACAGTCCAGAGAGAAGAGGAAGGGACTCATAACCGGGGCCCGGGGCTGGGCCACAGATGTTTCTGTTTGGAGGCTCAGACCAGAAATTGAAAATGTAATTTCAGTCGGGAACCGTGCCTTCCAGGGGCTGGAGCGCCATGTCCCGCTCCCTCAGCCGTCTGCCTGACCCCTTGAGGAGACGTCACAGCTCGGTGACACCCTCGTGCCTCTGCCCCGTTGTAGGAAGGTTCCCTGGGTGCTCCCACGGCCGCTCTCCTGATCCCGCACCCTGCAGCCCGCACACACGCCCGCCCCCGGTAGTCCTTGCGCCTGGTCGGGTTCACAGAACACGGAGCGCCACGGCCCAGGGGAAAAACACGGGACAGGAGTCCGGGGGCCTCGGCTGAGTCCCGGCTCTGCCGCCGCCGTGTTGCATGACCTCCAAAAGGTTTGGTTCTGCTCCAGACCCAAGTTTCCCCATTCGTTGATTGCGTGTAGCGAGTTCTTCCCGGAGCTGCTGTGAGGTTGAGAGAAGAGAGGCAGAAGCTTCTCCTTCGGAGACCGTCAGGGGCACACGCACGCATGAGGGGAGGAGAGAGAATCTGGCGGAGGCAGAGGGGAAGGGACAAAGTGGTGTGGGCCGTGGGCAGGGCTTCGTGGCGGCCTGGGACCGGACGAAGCGAAGGGAGCGGGCGGAGTGAACCAAGACTCGTCTTTCTCCCCCTGAAACACACCAGCTTCATCGCTGTTGAGAATCGATTGAGGCATTAAGTGCCGTTTGGTTGGGGCGATGGCCCCGGAGGACAGGGCTTCATTTGTGGCCGCGAGGTGGGCCTCCGTGATGCTGAGCCCACCTGAGCTCCGGGGGCCACGGCATCTTCACTGCGCTCGACCCCGAAGCCAGAGGTCCTCGACCGCGGTGGTTTTGCACCCCAGGGAATATTTGGCAGTGTCTGGGGACACTTTTGGTTGTCGCAGCTGGAAGGGAGGGTGCTAAACATCCTGCAATGCACAGGACAGCTCCCACAGCAGAACTGTCTAGCCGCGAATGTCAGCGGCGTTGAGGCTGAGGAACCTCTGCACTCACTCTCGGCCTCCTCCTGAATTAACGCTGGACGAGGCGCTCTGTTCCTGCGCCACTCAAAAGCATTTCCACGCCACCCTCCCCGTTTCCCGCCTGTCCCTTCCTGCATGCGCAGAGCTCTTTGTACTGTCCATGTAACTGACTCACGGACTTTCCGAACCATTCCTGTCGGAGAATGGTTCCGAACGGTCTAAGAGTTTCTTGTCTCAGCCCTTTCAATTTTTAAAACGTCTCTGCTTTGATTTTCTACATTAGTTGCGAACTGCTTCTCTCTGGTGCTTTTAATGCTCTCCCTGCTTTGGTACCCGTTGGCTGGCATGGGGAGGGTTAGTTACCTCTGTGAAAAGCCTCAAAACTAAGCATAAATCCCAGAGCCTGGCCTTAAGACTCAGTGACTATTAGCGTGACATGTACATCAAGCGGCAGACAAGTATGGCTCGCCCCCCTGCACTGAAGCCAGACCCCATTTTGCTAGGGTCTGAGATGTTTGTAAATGGGGAGCTCAGGGGAGGAACTTCTATCTGCCTGTTGAGAGCTGGGAGGGTGAAGGCTGGGAGGGATGGAGAGGGATGGGGGAAGGGCCTCGGGGGCCAGGCAGAGGGTGAGTCTTAAAGGGATACAGGAAGTCTGGTGCATTGCTGACTCTTCCCGTCATTCTCGCCATGACTAAGGGTGAGAAACCACCCCGGTGTGGGCAGCATCCCTTTTGTAAATCTGGGTCCCTGAGGTCTGCATGGGGTCAGGCTGTGGGCTGATGTCACTCTCCTCCCCAGCTCCCTTCTGCTGCCCTCTGGGGGTCTGGATTCAGGATGTGTCCCTAGGGTCTAAAACTTTGGTAAGAAACTTACAGAGGCTGATGCTTACCTACAGATCTTAATAGAGCAATAAAAGCTTTTTAATGACATGCTTCAAAACTGCAAAGATGATGAGCAGAGAAAGAAAATTGAAAATCTCAAGTCGCACGGTAGAATCAATTAAGCCGTGCGTTGTGCTCTGCAGCTTGGCTAAAGCACTGTGAATCCAGTAAATGCAATAGCTCAGCCTCGTCCCTTGGAGCCCGTGAGCGGCATGGTGCCTTCCCAGCCCGTCTTACCTCCAGAACCTGCTCAGCCGTGCAAGCCAGAGCCACGTCTGTCCTCCTTGCTGACTGGACCACTATTAGCTACCTGGGAACATCATCAGGTTCCAGCAGCAAATAGTGCAGGCAGTGGGCACTACCCACCGAGCAGCACTCTGACCTCTCCCAGCCATGTCAAGTTGTCTGTAGATACAGCCACGGTGTCTCTTCTTGAAGCAGTAACGAATGCTATGGTGCTGATGGATTTCATCAAAGTGGCTCAACCCCCAAATGCCTAATAGATTCCTCTGGATCTGCCTCAGTGCCGAAGCAGCAGCTCAGGAGAGACTCTAATGCACCCAGACACCACAGAATCACTTCCTTTTCCTACATCCAATGGGACTGGCGATGCTGACCATTTGGACTCACACGACATGACTGATGATGAGGGGGAGGCAGGGCCTGTGGACGAGCACCAGAGGGTTGTGCATCTCTCGTCACGGATTAGGTTTGGAATCATCTGTACTTCTAGCAGTTACTCTTGAGAAAAGACCTCTTCTAGAAATGTCTGCAAACGTTTTTGCATATCCAGATCTGCTTCTGAGCACTTGTGACCAGAAGGATCCCAGGGGCTGGATGGCTCACGTGGTGAAATGGTACCACTCAGCCTTTCGTACAGGAAGGAGAGGATCAGTTGCCAAAAAGCCACGCAACCTCGTTTTGGGTGTGACTTCACGGTATCACAGGGCATTAGCGAATGACGCTGAAGAGAGCACAGGGCTAGTTTGGGAAGGACCGGTTCCCTAGAAGAGCATAATATTCATGGCTGAACAGGTTATCCATCATCTACCCATCTCAGCCTTTTATGCGGACTATTTTAGCAAGAATATGCAATTCTGTGTACATATATGGATCAGATAGCAATTCCTTGGGATGTCAGTTGGCGTGCACGGCATGGGGCAGTGCTGTGCCTTGTGTCTGGACTGTGCTGGACATCGCCTTGTCACCCTCTCCGGTGGTAATGGATCGTCTGTCACAGAGCCCTGGCTGGAGCCGGGAGGAGAATGCAATACTAATTATTTCACAATGGGCTACATGCAAATGTCTCCTGCACTAAACCTTTCTACGGGAGCAAGAAGCACAGAATTACCATGTTTTTTCCCCCAAAATGACAAGAAATCTTTTTGCTCATTTGGTGCGAAGTGTGCAGAATATTCAGTAGGGAAACAGACAGTCTTTACTGATACCAAGAAGTTGCCTGGAGTCAGAGGAAGGGAAGCTGTAAGAGTGGAATGTGTAGGAACCTCACTCACTGCCTTTGGAATGCTGTCCCTCACCCGGAAGGTTGGGGACACTGATGGGGCAGTGGAAGCCAGGCACAGACGTGAAGAACGACAAGGAGCAGAAGCCTCAGAAGGAAGGGGAAGTTTGGTGGGAGTCTAGGCTGTTCCTGAAGACGGAGAAGGCTGGGTTTGTGATGAACCGCTACCGAAACTCCGCGGTGCGTCCAAGCATTTGGGGGGCGGGGGGCGATGCGACCGTCGTATTTTGCGAGAGGCTGTTCCTTCTGTCCTTGTCGCAAGTCCCAGTCTCAAGGCTGCTGAGCTTTGTAGTGTAGGTGCACAATTAAAGTGAGAGAAGCTTCTCTTTTTGCCGCCTTTGTGGCAGTGACCATTTTGACTTCCATCCTGAAGAAAAGCTTCAGGTTCTGAAAACGTTTACTCCCACCCTCCCCAGACCCTGTGCAGTGAGGAGCATTTCTGCACCCCAGCCTCAAACGCCAGTGCTGTGGAGGTGCACAACATCTGTTTCCCAGTTCCTATGACCTTAGGATATGTGTGCATGCATAATATAACCAATGACAGATTTTGCAGGAATATTCCATCTGCTCTAAGTGTGATTCCTCTGCGTTGTTTTAGAAAACCAGTCCCGCGAATTACAATCACATGTTGGGAAATGTCACGGTCTCGTGTACGATAACTATTATTTTGGAATCGAACCCAAGCCTGAATTACAGATTCATTATATACTCAGTGCTTCTTTAGGTGTCATGATTTTTAAAAATGCGAATCTGTGTTTTACCGAGCTGCCCACGGCCGTCCACTAGCTTCCCGTGGCTCACAGAGCACAGGCCAGAATCCCACGAGGCCCCCCGGGTCCCGTGCGGCGCCACCCTCCGCTGCCCACTGTCTGCCGCACCTTTCTCCCCGCCTGTCTGGGCTCCGGCAGCCGGTGCTTCTCCCGCACTTCGAAGACTCCGGGATTTTTTTATACGAAGATCTTCCCACGTGTGCCTTTCAAGTGCCACCATCAGGCACCCCTGGAGAGTGACTGGATTCAGATGTGTGTGCATCACGCACATCGGCGAGGGCCCCACAGTGCCAGGCACAGGGGGTTCTCCATAAACACTTGTGGCAGGAATGAATGAATGAATGAATGAATGAATGAATGACCGGCCCCTCCAGCGGTCTTGGGTGCTTTCGTGTTTTGTAGGGGCCTGGCGTGTAGGTTTGTGTGTGAGTGTGGAGGGGTGCGGTCGAGAAGGTAGAACCTGACACCTCCAAGCCCCGGGGGACGGGATGTTCAGGTGAGCGAGGCTCGAGGTGGTGGCTCCTGTGTGGGGGCCTGCAGCTCTGACTCTCTCTCTCTGTCCCTCTGTTCTTAGGTGGAAGGGGGCGTCGGTGAACTGGAACGGCTCGGACCCCATCCTGTGAGCCTTCCTGAGGGTGAACGCTGTGGCTCCGGTGCTCATCATAGGGGCGACAGCTGAGCCCCAGGCCTCAGGGACGAGTGTCTCAGAGGGGTGTCATGCCCACCTGGACCAGCACTGCTGCCGAAGCGTCAGTACCCCCCTGTCCCTTCCATGAAGGGCCCACCCAGGACTGCGATGAGGGCCCAGGGTGCTGCTGGGTGGCTCCCTCCCAGCTGAGCTGTGACTACCACGGACAGGAAGGGTGCCAGCTGCTGGGGCCTCTGCTGCCTTTGTCTGTATCCCTCCCTTACTCCCTGCTCGGCCATCCCCTTGCCAAGCCTCTGACGTGGTCCGCCCGGAGCCCCTAGGCACGCGTTAATTCTGGTAGCTGGCTTTCTATAAAGCAAGAGTGAAACCCATGCCGAGGGCTGAGACTCATTTGTTCCATTGCCTCTGTTAGGAGGTTCATGGCTGGGGTGGGAACAGTGTTGGGCTGATGGGCCCCAGAGCCCTGGTGATCCGTGGGCTAAGATGCCACCTAACTAGTGGTCCTGGCTGCACTTCTGGTCCAGCCTGACTTCTCCTGATCAGCCTGGGTCTAAGGTACCAGGCTGCATAAGCTGTGCTGACCAGGAGCAACTCAGGGGCCCAGGAGCCAGTCTCAGAGCAGACCCAGGTTCCTGTGGGGCCCCAAGAGGACAGTCATGCAGACCTGGAGGATAGGCTGGACCTGGCCAAGTGGATGTGGGGGGAGAACCTTCTAGGGAGGGGCCCCGTGGCCGCAGAGGGCAGTGAATCGGGGTGAGCAGAGAGGGGCTGCAGCGTGGCGTGTGCAGAGAGAGCTGGCCGAGAGTGGGGGGCCGGAAGCTGTGGGGACCTTCGCATTCCAGAGCTAGGAGCGACTAGGTGGCATGTAAAAAATATAATCACTGATGAAGGAAAGACTGTACAGCTGAAGCTTCCTTCATTCCCTTAGTTTATATCCTACCGATTTCGGAAAAGGAAAATGAGCAAGCGTAGAAATGCAACGGGAGGCTCGTGTAAAGACCGGGGACCGAGGCAGGGCTCCCAGAGGCAAAGCCCCAGCTTCCGGGAGCCTGTCATGGAGATGTCCCATGCCTGCCCCTGCTGCGCCCAGCAAGCACTTGGGCCTGGACCCTGAGTGCAGCCAGCAGAGTGTTTACACATGGAGACCAGGGCACGCCGCCCTCCCTGGCCCACAGAAAGGCCTCAGAGGCCGTAGACACGGATGGCAGCGGCTCCCCAGCCTCCACGTGCCCCGGAGCTCAGAACGAAAGCAGCCGCGGGGAGGGCTCTGTTCCCTTTGCAGTGCTGGCTACGAGGAGATCCCTTCAAGTGCCAGGCGTGCAGGGCGATCCACTGACATTTGCTGGTGACGACTAAAGAGCCTGCTCTGTGCTCTCGTGTGGCCGACGCCGGCCTTTGGGGAGAGGCAGGGAGGAGCCGGAGGGAAGTGAGGGCCTGGAGTGCTTTGTCCGTGCTGTGCGGAGGCCCCAGCGGGGTTTGCTGTGTAAACTCCAGTGGCCGTTCACAGCAGGCGTCAGGCAGAACTGCTTCCTATATGTCCCTGAAATGTTTATGCATTTGTTTTCCTTGGCGGGGACAGGCCGCTCCAGCTGAGAGGAAGGTGGTTTCCTTGCAGCAGCTTTGTTTATCGGCCCCGGGAAGGAAAACCTGGGTCTTTTCAATGAAACTCACTTAACCTCCTGCCCAGGGTCTCATTGGGAGGGCTAGAGAAATCAAAATATTCCCAGTGTCGCTTGAGAAGATCAGTTCCAACTGATTATAAAACAAATTATAAAAGCGTTTTTCTGGAAGCCGAGACACAGGTACACATGTGCAATTCAAAGTCTGTTGTCTGGGGTTCTCTGGAACGGAAGATGAGCAAAGCCCGGCACCAGCCTCTCCCAGACCCAGAAGGTAGAATGAACTCAGGGTACCGCGGCCAGGCCTGCAAGAACGACACGTAGGACTCTGCGTCCTTGCATGTGGGTGTTCCCCGTCTGGGGTGCATAGTTTTCTAGGGAGTCTGTGGGCAGACTTCAGAGGTCCATAGCCCGCCTCCCCTCGAAATTATATTAACATTTTTGTGTACATGTACATATGTGTAATTATCTGGGGAGAGGGTCTTTAGCCTTCCTCATGGCCTTGAACTTGGAAAGAGCCTCCTTCTTTTTCATAAAAGGTTAAGAAACAACCATGTCCTAGAGTTGAGTGGCCATGTCCTATGGGTTCGTGGCAACCCAGGGCTGAGCCTGGGCGCAGCACTCCACCTCCGTGGGGCTGGTCCACTGAGCAAGCCGACCTCGCTGGGGTGTGAGCAGGGAGCAGCTTTATCTTTTCTTACTGCTTCCCCCTGGATTCCCTCTCTCTCCTGTTTCATTCTGGTCTCTGGATGAAAGAGCAGGTCGATTCCACTGCTGTCCTGGCAGTGTGAGCAGGGAGACCAGTCCGATGGCCAAACTCCACACTCTCGCGGCTAGAAAGCTCTTCAGGGGGACCTCCCATCTCTGGGGTCTCTCCAGAGTCAGGCAGTTCATCCTCCCGTAGCTTCTGGGGGAGTCCGCCTCCCTCCTTTCAAGAAGACCCAAGTCTGCCTTCTGCAAGATCCACATTCGAGCCATGCAAAAGCACCGACACATCTTTGCCTCCCCAATTCTGGGGGATCAGACCTTTCCCACCTCAGCCTGCCTGTCTGCTCCGCCTCCTACCAGGAGCAGCGATGCCCAGGCAGGAGTCACAGCCCGTCCCACACTGTGGGCCACACAGGATGAGCTTTCAAGCAGTTTTCTCGAAGCCTCCCTCACTTGGCTTTGGGAGAAGAGATGCACCCCTCCTCACACCGTGGCTGGGGGAAGGGATCCCCAGCATACTGAGGCCTCTCTCCAAGTCCTCAGGAGCTACTGACCTCTTCCTCTGCCAGCCAAGGCTTTCCTCACCATGTCCCGTGGCTGGAGGAGGCGATGGACTAACGCTGGCAGGACCATTTGCACTACTCTTTCTGCAAGTCCTACCTGGTGGCAGCCAGGTAAAAAGCAATTTCCAGAAGAACTGCAAGAATTCCCAGGAGTTCAGAGCTGGGCCAGGGCTTGGAGGGATTCTGGGAGATGGCCTAAGGCAGGGGTGTGTCCAGACTTCATCCGACTGCCCCCCACGGTTTCTGTGTCCCAGACTCAAGGGAAATCGGGGGCTGTGGCTGGGGCCCCCCTGCCGTACAAGAGGGACAGCAGCGCGTCCAGCTTCCTGGGAGGGCGGGCGGCAGGGAAGGGCCGGTCTTAGGCTCCCACAGGCCCTGGCTCTGCTAAGCAAGTGACGGCAACGTGAGGATTTTCCTGCCCTCGTTCAGACCCCAGCCTCGCAACTCAAAGTGTAGCCCTTAGACCAGCAGCATCTACGACACCTGGGAGCTGCTTAGAGATGCAGAACCTCAGGCTCCGCCCCAGACCTACTGACTAAGAAGATGCATTTGCACAAAACCCTTGGGGAAGTCAGGTTGAAGTCTGAGAAGCTCTGCTCTAGGGCTCGTGGCTCTGTGGGGTGGCAGTATGGAAACGCAGAAGCCGTCCCTATCGGGAAGAAGTGTACTGAAGGGATGTGCAGCAGAGGTACCACCCTGGCCCGTGGAGGGAGAAGCTGCAGCTGGACTGGAGGGCCTGCGGCTGGTCCTGACTCACTGCTTCCTGCCTGCCTGGCCCGAGCACTGGACATAGGCTCCTCAGGCCTCAGTTTCCTCCTCTGTGAAGTCACCACCTTGCAAGGCTGGAACGAGGATCCAGCGAGTCCACATGTTGTAGCGTGCAAAGCAGAGCCTGGCCCACCAACCCGATAAGGGTTTGTTTTGCCCTTGATGTGGGGCTCAGGGAGGCTGCTCAGAGGTGGTAGCATCTCGCCTGGGCCTGGATGGACGGGCAGGCTTTTGACAAGTGGAGAACTGGACGGAAGATCTTTCCAGGTGAACGAACAGGAGAGCCAAAAGATTGTGAAAGTCCATGTCCGCATGTCTCATTTGGGGGCACCCCAGAGTGGGGGGTCCCCGGAGGTTAGGAGAGGAAGCCGACAGGAGGTAAAGGCCTTAGACAGTGAGCCCAGGGCTGGGTGTTTTCCCCAGAGACAAGGACCGCTCAGTGCTCTGCTTCAGACCTTTCTCCTTGGCAGGGTGGGGGTGTGTGGGCGTGGGGCAGAGGTGGGGGGCACGTTGAGGGGCTCACGCTGTGCTCCATGGAAGACATTTGAGTGAGAGGCGAGGAGAGGATGGAGGTGACAGATGCTGATGGCCTTCGCTCCCAGAGGCCCTGCGGACAGTCCTCACTGGCCACCAAGACCTCACAGGACCCTGAAACTTGCAGGAGGCCATCAGGCTGCCAAGACTATTTGCAGGTATTTCTCTCCACCCACCAGAGTCCTCCCTACTCCCTAAGCATGCTCTAATCCTCACGGGGCTGTGGGAGCTGTAATTACCAGGCAAAAATGCCAGGCATTTGCGATATGGAGATTGCTTAATGCAGGACGAGGGGTGGGCGGGCAGGTGGGCAGGCGAGTGGCAGGCCGGCTGCCCAGGGGCCGGGGTCACGCTGCCAGAGCCTGCGCGTGGCTCCAGCAGACCCGAAAGGGATCAGAGTCCCACCGCCGGGGGCCCGGGGGTGACGGACGCCTGGGGTCAGCCTTCCCGCCGCTCCTTTCATGCTGTCTTCAGTCAGCGCTTCATCCACCATCCTGCCCACATTCCCATCCTATGTCCTCAGGAAGACACGGAAGGCCTCTTGTACGGGCGGGGAAACTGAGGCCCAGGTAGCAATCCTTGGTGAAGAGCCCTCCTAGGACATGTCTCCTTTAGGGGGGTCTCTTGGAGTCCAGACCACCAGATGGTCTTGGAGTGAGGGAATACACCCGACTTCTAATGTGTTCCTCCAATTCGTCCTCCAACTCCGTTCACCCCAGACCATAGCAGCTGCTCCCCCAAAGAGCCCCTTGCTGCCTGAAACCTCTGCTAGTGCTTTGTCACACCTGGTTCTTTGCCTCTCTGCTGTCCATCTGCCAAACTCTGTCCATCCTTGAAGACTTGTCTCCAAACCCCTCCTTTAGGCAGCCCTGCTGCATCACCCCTCTGGCGGCCGACGCCCCATCCCTGAGTGTTTTCAGTCGGCTTCTCTCTCACAAGCCCAGATACACACACACACACACACACACACACACACACACACACACACACACACACACACCCCTCTACGTCATGCTGCGTTTCCTTATCCTGGGCCTGGGGCTTCTCTTTTCTTCCTCTCTCCATGTGCCTGTCGCATCTGGAGGGATGAAGCCCAAGGTTCACTCCCCTCTTTGAAGAAGCCCCTCCCCAGCCCGCACCTGCACCTTCCCTCCCTACCCTCCTCCTGGCAGGAAACCCC